CTGGTACTTCCTCCTTGGAGGCGGAAGACACCTCTTTCTCTCTGCTACTCCCTGTGAGACGTGGCAGCTGACAAGACCTCTGAATCCGGAGAAGCCACATAGAGACCCCTGCCGGCACTGAGAAGCTAACAATGCCATTGGATCCAAAGACTTTCTACCCACTGCCCTATAATAGTCCTGTATTCGGCATCATTGCATGTGCGTGAGTCTGAAGATGACTTTATGGGTTGCTGTCAGACATATGGACTAATGTCAGACTTCTGGACTTGATCTGGACTGGGATGGGGTGTTTTCTCAATGTTCAATTGCTCTTGAATATAAATCTCTCCCTTATACACATATGTGTGTCCATGGATTTGTTTCTCTAGTCTACCCAGACTAACACACATACTTACTATAGTAGTCCACTCTGACCTTTATGTAGCCTATAGGCTTCTCAGTTCAAGCACTTCATAGGTTTGCTATGAGGGTTGAATAAACTACATGCTAAGTGCTTATATATCACTGACTGGTATTGGTAAGTGGTGCGTAAGTCTTAACAATCATGAAATTACTTTTCAAAACAATATTGTGTCTTGAAATCTCAACATTGTTCACCCATTTGCCGTCATTCAACACGTAATTTGTTCATTTGAATTGCTTTAGTTTTCTGTTTTACTAGTAATCCTGAGACCAGCTAAGATTTGTCATTTCTTCTCACAAATTTCACTTAAAAGTGTCAGTTTTGACCAAGCAATCTGTGCTCTAAAAATTGTGGGGATAGCTTGAGTCTCTTTGAGAAACTGTGCTCAAGTTCAAAATTACGTTCTATCAAGAACTGACTAACAAGGATATCTACTACTGAAATCGAAAAGCTCATGTCACTCCATTTCTGCAATTGACCTCAAGGCTAAGTGAAACCGTCCCACAGGTCTCCTTCTCCCCACTGACAGACTTTGCTCAGCCCAAGGTAGTCTGTGTTTCATCATCACAATTAAAACAGGCCTGTAATTGCCCATAGGCCAATTCTTGTTTAAATGACCCCCCTCCATATCAGAGAGAAGTCATAACTCTTCCCCCCTCACCTGGAAGGCTGGGATCATAAAACAATTGCCTAAGACTTTGCCTAAATATATTCTTATTTTACTTTTGTCTATACTGCTACTTTGTGATGTATGAGCTTTTAACATGCTGTTTTGCTTTCTATATTCTGCTCACTTCCTAAATGATATAAGAGGCGTGGCTAAAGACCAACCCCCCACTGCAGTTAGGTGGACCGCTCCTTTTAAAGGCCCCTCCACATTCCGGGCTAGCCTTAAAAATAAAAATTTCACATAATTGAATTGGACATTGTTGTGCTCTTCATTTACTCGAACCCGCCACACTACTTATTACTTATTTATGTTATGTCAGGTCTGTTTTTGTTTGGTTTAAGCTGTGTAGGAATGATAACAATAGTTCCTAATTTGCTTAGTTGTTGTGAGATATATCTGATAATCCAGATAGAGTTTAGCCCTCAACTTCTCCTATCTCTGGTTATGATGATGCAAAACTACTGAAATCTCATAAATGCTTAAAAAATCGACGTGTTTCTTCTTTGCTTCCATCTAGCCACTGCTGTGTTTTCTCCTTCCAGGTACAGACTTTTCAAACAGGTTTAATTCCATATATCTACTTCTTCAATACACACTCTTTATCAAACCTTAGACCCTGGTTACTTAAACTACAATTGCCCTAGAGTGAAAATTCTTTCCTTCCATATCTGATAACTTCCCCCTTTTCAATAGAATTAAATTTGCATAGGATTGAAATGTATACACCATGTTTCTTAATGAGAAATAATTATAGATCAATACATGTGTTAGATTTCTCGGGTGGAAAATAAATTGGTTCTTGGCTTCCCACAAGAAAGAATTCACACTGAAACCTGTTTTGTGAACCAAGTGGGTTTTTATAAAGGACAGACAAAGTTTCAGGTTTTACAGTTTCAAACGAGTACACGCTATTTCGGGAAAGCATGCCAAACCCCGTGTTAGTCCCGCTGGGGCTCACCACGGAACACAGGCAATCTCATGGGACTACTCACCCACCTCTGGTGACCTGAGGCCAAAGAGACCTATGCATGGCAGAGAGGGTGCAGGAGCAGGGTCAAGGGGAGAAGGAAGAAGGGCCCAAGGGGTGGGCAGGGCCTCCCGCTGCTAAGGTTTTTAAACCTCTGGCTGGGGAGGCGTGCTCAAAGGGATTGGTTGACCCCATTGGCTACACTAAGCCCACTTGGGTCTAGTTTGGGCTGCCCAGGTGTACTGCTCAACTGGCTTCAGGGTTGGAATTGGAGCATGCCCAGTTAAAGTCTTTATGATTGGCTAAGGCTCTCCTGATTCTCTTCCAACCTCCTCTATGGGGGCCTTTGGGCATGGGGAGGGACAACCCTTTTATCCCCTTGCCTAACACATGGATACTCTTTCTTCTTTATTTTATTGTCACAAATGTTTCATCATGGTCCCCTCTGTCCTTTATTCTATAACACACTACCCACCTACAGTTTCCACTAAGATGGATTTAAGGTATACCTATAGATATGAATTGTCCCCTGAAATGATATCTGCCATTATGATGTGTTTTTATTACCAATAAAAAGTATATGTGGTGTAGCTTAAAATCTACTAGATAGCTAGGACAGTACAGTATGTTTGGAAACTAAGAAATATACCCTCAAGTAACTAATAATTTAAAATTTTAAAGTCACAAAGTAAAATGAGATATATTGAAATTATAAATACTAAAATGATAAAATAATATGTAATGCAATGTATAGGACCCATAGAGGGAATTATATATAATTAAAGGCAAATTTTACATAAAAGGGCTGAAATCAGTCAAATAAATAGATGCTCAAGATAGTATTATAAGAATGGCCTGTGCGAACACGACGTGCTGAAGTGAACAGGCAGCAGACACCAAAGAACAAAAACCATCATTGTGTGACCACCTTCCAC